TCCTCACAGAGTGTATTATAAACTCTATGATGATCATAAAATATCTAGTTTTCTCTAGCTCTTATTTTCTTCATGCTTGTTAATTAGTAGAGGTTTGTTACCTCATTAAGATTAGTAAGGTAAGGCCTAGCCCCCTTGCTTGTACTCTTTTCTTTGAGATCCTTTTCATTTTATTAATAAAACTAGCCCTAGGCACACCTTGCCTAGCGGACTTGCTTAAAAAGAAAAAAAACTTAATTAAACTTGGTTTAGTAATAGTTAACATGTACGTTTTCTAATTTTGTATAGTTAACAAATTTAAGGTTATTCTATGTTGAAACAAAAGGTGTGAATGAAAAATGAAGAGTTGTGACTTTTATGAAGAGTTGTGGTTTTTCTGAAGAGATACAACTTTTCAAATAAAGGTTGTGACTTTTCTGAAGGATTGTGATTTTTCAGAAAGGTTGTGACTTTTCTGAAGGACTGTAATTTTTCAGAAAGGTTGTGACTTTTCCGAAGAATTGTGATTTTTTCAAAGGGTTGTGACCTTTCGAATAAGGCACAACAAACATTTATTCACACTACCCTTTATTGGCTATAAGTAAAGGGGTTTCCTCTCATGTTTTGTCAACGAAATTTCTCAACTACTTATTATTAATCTAGTGCACAACAAAATCTATTTTTCCAATTCTAAAAAAGTAAAAAGGGTTTTAGATGATCAATGTTTCCTAAGCAAGTGTAAGAAGTCGGATGAGAATTTCTTTTTTCTAACAAAAATTATACAAATTTTGTACAAATTTACAAGTCCAGCGTAATAGACAAAATTAGCTATAACATCTCAACTGGATTAGTTCTATACAAAATAATTATTCCTCTGCTTATGCCTTAGGAACTCCATTTGTATGAGATCAATTTTGTAAGGTCTGATGGCTATCGATGGTAGGTAAGCCTGTGAAAAAATAAACAACTCCTCATTTGTAATACTCCATTTTGTCACGGCATCAACAACTTGGTTGGCCTCCCTGTAACAATGTCTAACCTCACAAGTAATAGTATTTGAAATATTTTGAATACGAGTAATGATAATCTTCATTTGCCAAGGGATATTGTAATGAAGTCGGATGAGAATATTATGAAACTGACTATATTGTACTTAATTATCACTCGTTCTTATTAATTATCAAATGATAATAATCACTCTATTAACAAGAATTATTTTGGGCTAGTTGACAGTGGCGTTTACCAAACAATTTTTGGGGGTAGAATGGTCTTTGAGGCTTCATTGAAGTTGAAAAGTGACCAATAGACTCAACACTTAAGTCCTCATGAAGCAGTCAAGAAAACTCTAGGAATCACCTTGATAGATAAATATGCAAACCATTATGCTCAACATCTCTAGCTGGTATTCTTGCAAACACTTCAGCAGGGCTTCAAACAACAAAGTAAGCGCCCACGAAGTAGTCAAGGGAACTCTAGGAAACACCACCTTGATAGATTATACGTGAATCATTGTATTCATCATTTCTAGCTAGTACTCTTGCACTTCTACTTGTTTGTGTAAGTTTCAAAGTGAACCCGGGAGTTTCCCCAACCACTTCAGCAGGGCTTCAAACAACAAAGTAAGCCCTCATAAAGTGGTCAAGGGAACTCTAGGGAACACCTTGATAGATTATACGTGAACCATTGTGTTCATCATCTACAACAAGTACTCTTCCACTTCTATTCGTTTATGTGAATTTCAAAGTGAGCTCGGGAGTTCCCCCAAACACTTCAGCAGGGCATCAAACAACGAAGTAAACCCTAATGAAGCGGTCAAGAGAACTCTAGGGAACACCTTGATAGTCTTAAAAACCATTTGTGTTCATCATCTCCATCTAGCTAATAGTCTCTTGCACTTCTACTTGTTTGTGTAATGTTGTCACAACATACATTCCTGTTTATAACATTGTTTTTCTAAGAAAATTACATGCCAAATGTGAAAGTGGGGTTTGAACTATGGGGCATTTATGTGGTCAAATAAATGAAAGAATATTCTAGCAAAATATATCCTAGCTTAAAAATCTTTCGATTGAGGATTTTAATGAATTAGTGAAGTTACAAATTTTGAATTGATTCGAGCATTGTGGGGAAAAAGTGTATTGTAGATAAATCTATTATAAAAATGTAAAATAGTAATTTTGTTCCTTTTGATTCTCATCCTTCATCTAGCCACTATAAATAATTATTCATAATAAAATAAAGATTGCTTGGTTTTCCTCCTATTACGTGACTTGATTTTTCTTTCCATTTTAAAATTATATATTTAAGTTCGTTAAGCAGAATACCAAGTCCCAATTCAACTGGGTACTAGTAGAATATTAAATCAAGATTAAATAGGCTTAATTAGAGTAAAACACTTAAATCCTTCTCAAACTTGGTTTAAGACAAAATTGAAGAGAATTAATTATATTAGGTAGATGACTAAGCTTATTCAGTAGTGTAATTAATCAGTATTGTGTGATTTTATTTTTTTTAAGTTCTTATAATTTGCATTTTTCCTTTAATTTTTTTTCCTATTGAAGGTGCAATGACTTTTGCAATTCTAGATCTTATAAATTTTGATCTATAATTTATTTTTCCAGATTAGAAATGAAAGTAAATGACCATCGTTCTGATATAATAGTAGTTAATTTTGAAGAGATGATTGTTTTGTTATAAAATTATTTTGGCTAATGATAGATACAACCACTGACAAGTACAATGATTATTTGTACAAGAAATATATGATTTTAATGAAGGGGGAAATTAACAGATATTATTATTTTACACTTTCAAACAGAAGAAATTATAGAGATGTTGATAAAGATTCTAGCGGGATGATTATATGCTTCCTCACAAAGAAAATAATGTAGATGATGAGGAAGATGACGATGATGATGGTGATCCGCCTCTAACAATAATAATGATGAAAATAACACGGCTGAGAACGCTGATGATGACGGTGATGACAATGATAATAACAATGAAGGAGATCTAGGAGATGATTATGTGTTTTATCATCATTATCATCATCTCTAGAATCTCTATCATTGTTATCATCATCTTCATCATCATCGTTATCATCTGCGCCATCATCCTCATCATTTCCATTGTTATTTTTGTTAAGACATATAATCAGAATCACCAACATCGTCATTAACGTCATCATCCTCTTCATTATTATCTTTGTTAAGAGATATGTAATCATTTTGCTGGAACCTCGATCACTTTCCACTATTCCTTCGGTTAGGAGACGTAAAATCATTTTCATAGTATTCATCATGATATTTCTAAATAAATAAAATTTGTAGTATTGAACAAGTTTAATTTTAACAATAGATTAATGTGATATATATATACATTTTTTTTCTATGTTCTCATTATTTCCATGTAATACTGATGTGGCCTAAGAACCACTTGTCATAAAATTTCTTGCCTTATTATTAGTCTCATTTAAAGTTATTTACTGTATTTTAACTAAGTAATATTAGTTTGCTATCAAAGTAATAAATATAAATCTGGTCAAATCATAAGAAGTCAAATCATAAAAATCATAATTTGACTAAGAGTTATGGTGTGTAGAATATGCTTTTCATTACCTAATTTATTTTTTCTATTAAAAAAAAAGTTCAGGGCGAGAATTTTTCAATAAATTTCATTTAGACACTTTAAATTATAATTTATTATAATTGAGCACATAAATACATAATAAAATATTTATATTAATAAAATATTCATCATCAGATATATATATCATTATAAGTGGGAAGATCTTAACTTCAAAGTTGGATTACGATTTTACCCCTTCACTAAATTTAAATATTATTAATAAACTAATTAATAAATTTTAAATAATAATTATATGGTATTAATCCATTATATTTCTAGGTAGAATTTATTCACGAAATATTTAGTATGTTTTCATTCTAAAGTGGAGTTTGGTAGATGAAGTGTTTCATAACAACAAAAGGCAGTAAATTATATCCTTTAAAAACTGAAATGTCCTTTAACATTAAAGAACAAAAATGTCCTTTGAATT